CAAAACTCCTTGCGTGATATAATGTTCAATTCAGATGAGGCTGTAAATCTGCACCTTGTTCAGTTTTTTGCCGATAAAGACAGGTCCTTCTTTGAACAAGGGATTATTAAGCTCACTGAAAGATGGCAAAAGGCTATCGAACAAAACGGGCAATATATCATTGATTGATCTTTGTTCTTTATATAAATAAATGACCTTTGAAAAACATAGACAAAATACATCAGGACTTTTCCGAAAACCCCAAATTTTTATTTGTTTGTTAAACAAGCTGGTTCTTGATATCAGATACCAAATATTAGAATTGCACATTTCAAGAAAAATTTTAAAATGATGAAATTCTTTCCCTAGGGCGATATCACTTCCATTCCTGAACTTGCTGACTATATAAAAGTTTTCAAGTAAGTACCTAAAGCAGAGAGATTCCAAATACTAATGAATAATAAGTGTCAGTTTTATAGTCATGTTCACATTATTGAAATTTACTGTAAGAATAACTAGCAAATGTGTCTGTAAAAGCATTTACCAATTAGGTGAACACTAAATTATGAGGGGAAATAACCATTTTTACCAAATTAAAATCACATTATTCATTAAGTTTTATCTGGTAAACCTTTTTCTTAAAGCAACAACAACAAAAAAGACTGTAACCTAGATTGCATCATGTAGATTCTGAAATGTATACAGGCCTGTCAGCAGAAAGCATCCCATCTGGGTCAAAGCACAGAACAGTAATAAACTGTTCCTGCCAGTGGTTATTTCCTTGTTCAGAGCTCAAGATTTTACTGAGTTCTGTTCATTTGTTAGTGGGACATTTTATAATTAAGATTTCAGTGTTTCTTATCTAGAGTTTTAAACAGTTAATCGAGTCATAGTCCACAGAATCAAGAGAGCTAGGCATTAAGGCAGAGAGGGGAAAGAGAAAAGGAGTGATGTGGACTATAAGATACACAGCCATTATGGAATAAACCATTCACTGTAGCTAAATGTGTAAGAGCTCAGCATATGGAACGTTTTTGAAAGAAGGGCATGATTTCAGATGCTGCTGCCTACCCCTGCTCTCTTCTCCATTTACACACCTTTTTTTAAAAAATCTGTACCTTTCCTTATCCACTGCCCCTCATGACTGCTCTTCTTTGTGTTTGACATTGGAGTGATGACTCAAAGTCCCCATTGAAATACATCCCTGAGAGAGATAAGCACTTCCCTCACTTTAGTCATGCCAGGTAAACCTGCTTGTTCAGAGAGGCTCCAAGGCATCCGTGAACCTGGATGTAATTATGAGACCTAAGAACTTTCTAATTATTTACATTTATATCACTTTTTCCTGTCCTTTCCATGTGACCTGCTAGTGATAGAAATGACAGAAATCCTAGCTAGCTGGCCCTACTGCCTTTCTTCTCTGCCTGCTCACTGTTTGTGAGATCTTCCTGAGTAGACTGACGGGGAAGGAAGGGGCAGATCCAGTAACAGCAACACTGACCAAAGGGAACTGAATTCAGCATATGTACAACTTGGCCTTCGGCATTTAACATTGTGAAGCTGTAGTGCTAAAACCAAGCATTGATAAAGTTATTTCAAAAGTGGTTTTTCTCTTCATCCTATTTGACACATAGGCCGAAAAAGCTGACTCTAAAAGGTTACAAGCAATATTGGTGCACCTTTAAAGATACGTCTATTTCTTGCTATAAGAGCAAAGAAGAATCCAGTGGCACACCAGCTCATCAGATGAACCTGAGAGGTAAGGAGAGCCTTGAATGACCAGTGGTGATGGTGGGATATCTATTAGCTAATATTCAGTAAGCTTCACTTTGCTGGGGGGAAATTGTTTTCAGCACTTTCTTTACTCCTTTAGGTGTACTTTTTTATGTTTAGATATATATTTGTTTACTTAGTTCTTCTCGTCTTAGTCTTGGAGACTACTTCTGTTGCTTCTTCACACTGCTCCTTTACCTCTTTTATCTGATGGATGCAATGGTTCAGGTGGCTGAATTTCCTCTCCAAGTTGGTTTGCTTCTTCTGCAGCTGGAAGACACCCTGCGTACCTCTTGCGGTGACTTCTCTGAAGGGCCTTTAGTCATGGACATTACGGATGTAATATAATAATACTACAAGAGAACCACTTGTAGTATTATTCACTGAAACCACCTCACTCACTTCCGGTTTAGATAACACTTTCTCTAGGAAGCTGTACCCCTGAGAACCACTCTCCCACAAGCTCACATAGCACTAACTACAGATGCTCCTCCACTTACGATGGGGTTACATCCAGGAAAATCTACCGTAATTTGAAAGTATCGTAGGTCAAACATGCATTTAATACACCTAACCTACCAAACATCATAGCTTAGCCTAGCCTACCCTAAACTTGCTCAGAACACAATATCCTAGAAATGCTGACAGTGCAGGACACTGTAGAG